CGATTACGATGATGATGGTGATGACGATGATGTTGATGATGCCGATGATGCTGATGATGCCGATGATGATGATGATGATGATGATGATGGATGATGATGATGATGATGATGAAGACGAAGATGAGGATGAATATGATGATGATGCTGCTGCTGATGATGATGACGATGATGATGATGATGATGAATGATGATGATGATGTTGATGATGATGATGAGGATGATGATGATGATGATGATGATGATGATGATGATGATGATGATGATGATGATGATGATGATGATGATGATGATGATGATGATGATGATGATGATGATGATGATGATGATGATGATGATGATGATGATGATGATGATGATGATGATGATGATGATGCTGATGCTGATGATGATGATGATGATGATGATCACAATGCTGATGAGGATGATGCTGAGGAAGATCATGATGATGATGAGGATGATGGTGTGATGATGGTGATGATGGTGATGATGATTCAGAGGAGGAGGACGAGGGGGAAAAGGAGGAGGAGGAAGAGGAGGAGGAGGAGGAGGAGGAGGAGGAGGTGGAGGCGGAGGGGGAGGATCAGGAAGATCAGGAAGAGGATCAGGGGGAGGCGGAGGAGTGGGAGGTGAGGGAGGAAGGGCAGGAGTGGGAGGAGGAGGAGGAGGAGGAGGAGGAGGAGGAGGAGGAGGCGGAGGAGGATGCGGTTCGCTACGGTGACTCGCCTATGCGACCCCTGTTCATCGCTAGCCAGGCCACGCCGGTGTCAGACGGATGATCTTTGTGTCCAGCACATGCAGGTGTGCGAATTGGTGCTGCGCCTCGTGCAAGCAGCGGAGCGGAGGAAGGAGAGAGGAGGGAGGAGCGAGGCGCGAGGAGGAGGGAGGAGGACGATGCGCAGGAGGAGAGAGGAGGGGCAAGCTGGTTCGTCGAGCATCGTCCAGATGGCGGCGAGAGCGACGATGAGACGGGTGGGTCACCGCCACCGTTGCCGCGCCCATTGATACTTCCTGTCTCTGTGTTCTACCTTTTTCCAATGTGGGGGTCTCCAGCGTTCTCGACCTGAGCCTTCGCACGGATTTTTGCGAACCAGGATTTGCGTGGGCTCTGGGGGCCCGAAAAGGGCCTCTGGAGGCTCGGACTCGACCAGGTTGGCCATCCCGCTGTTTCAGGGCGCCGGAGCCGTGGGGCCTCCCGCCCTGCGTGAGACGGACCAGGGAGTTCCGTCTGGGACGATGCCCGGGGTCCTCCGACGGCTCTCGACGAGGAGCACCTGCCAGCAGGCACCTCCCGGGCCCGGGGCCTCCAGGAACAACAGGAGGCAGCAGGTGACGAGATCCAAGCTCAGGTCGGGCGTGCTCTCCTACAGGCGGATTTTGGACGAAAAACTAAACATGTCCCCCAAATACCCCCAGAATGTTCAAAAATTGTCAACATCGTCCCCAGACACCCCAAATACTCCCAGAATGTTCAAAAACTGTAAAAAAATCGTCCCCAGACTATTTTTTGACTCTTTCTGGGTATCCCCCCTGTGGAGGGACAGGGTCGACTTACACATCAAAGCCAGAGAGCCTCGGGCTACCTGCGCGGCGAGTGGGGAGGCGCGGCGGCGCCCCCCGGGGGGAGGGGGGGCGAGCGCAGAGGGGGGGGGGCGGGGGCTCGCCGGGGGGCTCTCCGGAGGCCTCGCCAGCCTGCCGAGAGGCCTGCCGAGCTCTCCGCTGCGCATCTCTGCGGAGCACGAGCTTCGGGCCAGGCGAAAGGGGGGGGGATTGGGAGAGGGGGGGGGATGGGGAGAGGGGGGGGGAGAGGGGGCGGGGGGAGGGGGGGGGGGATTGGGAGAGGGGATTGGGAGAGGGGGGGGGATTCTCTCTGCTGCGCATCTCTGCGGAGCACGAGCTTCGGGCCAGGCGAAAGGGGGGGGGATTGGGAGAGAGGGGGGGGTGACGAGATCTGCTGCGTGCAGCCGGTTTCGGCCCCACCGAGGGGCCCATTCCTCGATACATAAATTTGCCTCCCGGCGCCGGGAGGCGCCAGGAGAATCAGCTACGTGAGCCGATTCTCGAACCCCCCCTTTGCTATCCCCCCCTTGCGCCCGACCCGAGAACTGAGATGGAGAGTATTGCTCCCTCTCTCTCTAATTTTTTTTTACAAGGGCGGTTGCGTCCCTCGAACCCCGTCGCCGTTGTACTGGAGTCCAGGATGAGTTGGGTGCGCTGGTTGTGCGACTCAGTGGGCCGTCAGGCTTCTGCGAAGCCCCGCCGCCTATTTGAGAAGGCCCGCCCCCTCCTCACTTCCCCGTCGTCGCGCGGGCCGCCGACGGATGACAAGAGCAACACCGGACACCCTCGGGCATCCGGGCAGGGCGAGGAGGGGACCCCACGGGCCTCCGAGCGCTCCTGGAGGCCCGCCGGGGTGCCCCCCCCCGGGCGGCCCAGAGCCTCGCCCCTGGATCTTCGAGCACCTCGAGGGCGAGGTGGTGTAGGACTCGCTGTGGCGTGCTCGGGGAGGAGGTGGGATGAGGAGAAGAAGGAGGAGAGAGGAGGAGGAGGAGTAAATGGGAGTTCTTTGCTGGAGGCGACTGCACAGCCAAGCTTCTGCAGAGATTGACAGGCAGGCAAGAAGAAAAGGACCCACCCGCAAGCGCAGACTACTTCGAGCCTAGCGCCGCGAGTGCCAGTCGTTCAGTCAGCGCCCAGCTGCACTCAGCAAGGCGAGCACAACTGGCATCAGCGACACCGCGGTAGAGGCTCCCTCCTCCCGCAGTCGCAACGCCGCGCTGGCTACAGGTGTCACCAGCCAGGGCTGCAGGCGGAGTGCGGAAAGAACGCACTCACAGTCAGCAAAGCAGCGGAAAATATCAAATTTATCCTGCAGAGAGCCGCAAATGTGCTCCACCGACGCCGCCCCATCCGCCGCCCCAACCTCAGCAGGCGGCTCCCAAAGAGTGGCCGCCTCAACCGAGGGAGGTTGCGATAAACTCGCGCCAAAGACAGGATCGCTTGCCACGCCATGTGTGTGGCCAACGTCCGTAGGGATAACGGCCACACACGGCCGGCGCACAACATCCACGTATGATGTAAGTGACGATCCCGCCGCCTCGACCGCAGGAGGCGGCGGCAAGAAATCATCACCAATTGACGCGGGCTTCGCAAACGAACTCGCCGCCTCAACCGAAGGAGGCTGCGACAAATTGGTATTCTCGACTCCCGCGCCCGCCGCCTCAACAAACGGAGGCAGCTGCAAATGATCACCAAATTCTGGGACAAGTGCTTCATCAACCCGACTGGGAAGAGCCTCCAGATCACACTCACTGCCGCCGTCGATGTCGGACTCACCAGCCGACGCTGTCAACATAGAAAGGGGCACCTCAACAGACGGCGCAACCTCCTCTGCACGGACAGCTCCGGAACAGTCAGAGCACACCAACGGCATGATGTAAGTGCGAGCTTTGGGTGAGGAATAGTTAACTCCAAGGCGAGCCTCGTCAACTGGAAGCTCAGCCTCAAATGTAAGAAGTGAACACGCTGAGCGAGCCCCAAAATGGGGCTCAGCCAAAACCGCGTGTTCTTCCAAAACTGCCTTGATGTGGCCATCGGATGCCGCTGGGCATCTGGAAGAAGAAGCGTGAGGTAAGTTATGCCCAGGCCTCTTAGGTCGACGCCGACGGCGTGAGCGATCACCGATGAAAAACTCCTGAGCCTGGGCTTTCACATCCGCCTCCTCGGCGGGGTGCGGACAATCCTGACAGGTGGCGGCGGGGTCGGCACCGTCGCAAACATGCCACCTCCCTCCGCCACGCGTGAACGATCCGCAGCCCTCGACCTTGCCCGTGGAACTGGCGGCGGCGGCGGCGGTGGCAGCTGCAACCCTGCCGCAGCACCGCCCTGCGCTGTCGCCGCTGCAGGCGGAGGCGGGGGCCCTTGCTTCAGACCCTACCTCGCCTCCAAAGAGCGGGCGTCCTTGGCCTTCTTCTTGACCTTCTTCCGCCGCTTGCGCTGCCTGGGGCGCTTCGCCGCCTTGTCCGCCAACGGCGCAGCAGGCGGCGCCAATACCAACTTCACTCTCAGAGCTGGCGGCGGCAGCGGCGGCCCCTTGTGCTGTCGAGGAGGACGTGCTGCAGGTGGTGCCGAGCTCTGGGTCGACGCGGGCGAAAGCGGCAAGTCCTGCGGTGGCTCCGCCGAGGCCGCTGCCTCCAGGCGGCCCCACCTCCGCAAGCGCTTCACTGGCCTCAGCATCTCCTCCGGCTCCTACTGCTGCAGCGCACGCTGGCTGCCGCCATTGGTGAGCTCCTTGTCCACCACATCGAAAGGGCTCCAAATGCTAGGCGGTGGCAACATGGGCATGGAGCGCAGCAGCATCTCCTCCTCCTCCTCCTCCTCCTCCTCCTCCTCCTCCTCCGTCGAAGATGACGAGCTCGATCCCGTCGACGGGGATACCGATGGCATGCGCGAAGTCATGTAGACGATCACCGAGCGACGTGCCCAGCAAGTCCACAGGCACGTAGAACCGCATGCACAGGTAAAACCGCAGCCTTCACCTCCTACTTGCGCGGCGCCATGGCGGCACCGCACCTCAAGGCGCAACAGACGTTAAGCGGGAGGCGGACGCAGGGAACAGCCTAAACCCGAGCCTTGAGGAGGAGGAAATGGGAGGAGGAAGTGGGGGGAAAGGAGGGAGGAGGAGGAGGAGGAGGAGGAGGAGGAGGGGGAGGAGGAGGGGAGGAGGAGGCGGAGGAGGAGGAGGGATGAGGGAGAGGAGGTCGGCGCTCCAGCGGGATTCCGCGCTCCCCCAGGTGCTGCTTCCGTCGTGGCGCCTGCCGCCGTCCCTGATCTCCGTCGCCGCCCGCGAGAAGCTCTCGAAGGAGAGGAGGCGGAGGAAGGAGGGGAGACGGGGAGGAGGGGAGGACGACGAGGGGAGGACGAGATGAGAGGAGGAGGAGGAGGAGGAGGAGGAGGAGGAGGAGGAGGAGGAGGAGGAGGAGGAGGAGGAGGAGGAGGAGGAGCAGGAGGAGGAGGAGGAGGAGGAGGAGGAGGAGGAGGAGGAGGGGAAGGACCAGTGTAAATTCAAGAGTCATCAACCATGTTGGAATACACCCTCCCTCCAAGCTCCCTCTTCGTAGGCCCCTGCAACGGTTGATTTCATTGAAAGAACTGCCTCGTTGGAAGACAACCGTTTGAAGACCCTGAAGCATGCCAAAACATTGTTCTCGGGATTCGAACGCCACGGATCAACCTGACTGTCCAAGCCGCTGCTCGTCACGCAAATGCTGCACCAGAGCTTGTTGGCGATCCCGTCAGGCGCGGCGCCTGTAGCGGGCGCACCTCGTAGTATGCATGGCCAGTTCCAACTCGGCTGTCTCTGAGTGCTCCTCGAGACGGGGGTCATGAACAAGCTGCGCAGTCGCCTTTTGGATGCGTGCCCGTTCCCGTAAGGGTTCGAGTCGCCGTTCAGCGTATGCGCGAGACAGGGGATCAGTCACGCGCTGTCTGAGAGACTGTGGCCCCGCAGCGCCTCGAGCAGTTTCGACGAGGAGATGCCGGCCGGGCACGATCCGGAGATTCGTCGAGGCGGGCCTGCTGCCAGGCAGCAGATACCTCCCGATCTCGAGCAGCGCGGTGAATCTCGTGAACACGCTCCACACGCCGAGTGCCTCGCAAGATTCAGGAGGGAACAAAAAACACACAGACATAATGAATCGTCGATTCCCCAGAAAAAGTATGGGAACATATGGGACGTGGGAAGGGGGAGACGAAAACCCTCAAAATATGGAAAGATATGGGGAATCAGTTATCTGTGTGTACAGTGCCGTCTTTTACATGCTCCGCGTGCGGATCATGTATTAGACATGCAGGGATTTAGTACTAGAAACAACGATGAGTTCATGCACACATTTATTCATAAATCAATCATGTATTAAAAACCCTATTATTTAAACATCCTATGTATAAAAGAACTGCCCTGTATTTATTTGTGTGTCCTGGGGCCCCTTCAGTGTCGCCAGCGCGAGGGCATCGATGTCCCACGTCGGGCCAGCGGTGGGCGACGGGCGGGCGGTCGACACGCACTCCAGCGCGGCGTGCGGCGGCGTGTGATTCAGGAGGGGGAAAGAGCACACACAGACACAATGAATTGTCGATCCCCAGGGAAATTTAGGAACAAATGAGAAAATATGGGAAACTATAGGAAAATATCGGAACTAGGAAAATATAGAAACATATGGGACATATATAGGAAAATATAGGAAAACATGGAAATATGAGAAAATACAGGAAGATATGGGGAACTATGGGAAGTGGGGGGGAAGGCGCCCAGAAAATATGAGAAAGTATAGGGAATCCTGTTATTCGTGTGTATCTATCTGTGTGCCCTGGGGCCCCTTTGAGTGATCGAGGACACGCCTGCCCTTTCCAACTTTCCTCTGGCGGCCGAGCCTGCGACGAGCCGAGCTCTTCTGCACCTCCGGCAACAGCGTGACAGGGGGCCAAACAGATCGGTCCACACGCGAAGGACGGCCTTTTGGGGGGAAAAAAGTACGCGTCACCCGCATCCCAGAGCGTGTGGAAAGCTGCGAGGTGGTGAAGGGACATTAATCCGACGAAGACATCCGTACACCACCACCGTGCCAAGGCCAGGGCCATCCTGGGCCCCAGGGTGGTGTATAGACCCCCCTTGGCCTCGGCCGGGAGGGCGTATACACCATCCTGGGGCCCAGGATGGCCCTGCCTTGGCACGGTGGTGGTGCATAGATGCCTTCTGCGAAAACAACTCATGGATCTTCTGGCCGGCGTAGTGCTCGTAGTCACGCTGGCAAGGACCAATGTGAAGGTCGGACGTGTCCTGCCTATTGCCGTTCCCAAGATCGGCCCATGCGAAACCGTCGTTGATATCGCCTCCGAGGAGGGGAAAGCAACGAACGCACTACAACCTGACAAATGATCTTCCCCAAGGTATCAATGATAAGGTCCACTGTGTGACAATACTGGTCCCTCGACTTCGCAAGGCCGTCCCAGGGAGGAATGTAGAATGAGACCGCCAGAATGTCAAAGGTGCCAGGTACAAAATGTGCAGCTGCAATTCGTCGTCGTCGAAGTCGTTGGAGACGTCGTCGGTGTCGTTGTAGTCGGTGTCGGCGGCTCGTCGTCGTCGTCGTCGTCGTTGTCGCTGTCGTCGTCGGCGTCGGTGCCGTTGCCAACTTTCATTTGGTATCTACCGGTCTTAAGAGGTCTTGCGACCAAGTTGCAGGTGGGAGGGTCGGATGTTTGCACGAGCAGTGGAGAGGACAGCAAGTCGAGCAAGTGATTGGTTGCACCATATAGGTGCCACCGCATAGATTGCACCGCATATATCCCACAACGAAACTTTCACGACATAGATTGCACAACACAGATTTCACCACGTCTATTCTCCCTTCTAAAAGAGTATTCAGACAGATCCCCCCCGATTTAACCGCGCCCCGTTTCGTATGGCTGTTTACGTGTGATTCTGCCCCATCGCCCATCTTGAATACGAATTCGAATCATCCCAGCTAAGCCGGTATTCCCCCCGTTCATCCCCTGCAACAAATATTAAGCGCGCGCGCGCTCTTTTATCAAAAATTCACTAGTTTGCAATAACCTCTTGCAAAACAAACCGGGACGAAGTGCACGCGCGCGCGTCGTCGAGCGCGCATGCCGAACTCCTTCAACAACGCTCGGTGTCGTAAGGGGTTCAAATTCGAGTGTCCCGAATACATCTTAACACACATGGTTTCGCAACGCGATTTTTCAAATCAAGCTTGCGCTCGGGCTCCTGAGAACTCTGAAGGCGGGCCTTTTGCGCGCGCATGTCGGACTCGCTCGAAAGCCCTTGCGCGCGTGCTGCCGAGAGAATCCCTTGCAAAACATGGGACAAAGTGCACGCTCGCGCGTCGTCGTGCGCGCATGCCGAAGTCCTTCGAACTCTGGCTTCGTAAGGATTTCAAAGTCGAATGCCCCGAAAACATGTAACAAACATATGTTCGTTTGCAACATCAGTTGTCAAACATGCCTTCGCTTGCGCTCCTGCGAATTCTCAGGGGAACCATCGGTTTTCAACATGCTCATTCAATTCGGCCAGACGGGCCCCTCGCGCCGCACGTCGAAATCATGCGAACGCCCTTGCGCGCGTGCTGGGGGGGGGGGGGGGGGGGCACGATCCGTGTCAAATAATGCCGTGCGGGCCATTCTCGCGCGTCGGCCGTGCGCGCATGTCGAAGTCCCCTAAACTTTTCATCACCGACGCGGGGCTGCCGTCATCGTCGTCGGCGTGTCAGTATCGACGCGGTCACTGGCCTTGTCGTCGTCGTTAACATCATCTTCGCCAGCATCGCTACCATCATCATCATCATCATTATCATCATTATCATAATCAGCATCATCATCATCATCACCATCATCATCATCATCATCATCATCATCATCATCATCATCATCATCATCAGCATCAGCATCAGCATCAGCATCAGCATCAGCATCATCATCATCATCATCATCATCATCATCATCATCATCACGTCTGTCGTTGTCGACGGTGCCATGATACCGGTCCCGCCCAAGCCGCCGACTCGCACCGAAGTGCCCGTTGGGAAGTGCCCAGCGGTCAGCGCCACCGCGGCTGCGTCGGTCGCGCCAAACTATCTGCCCGCTGCGCGCGCGAGCATGCGCGAGCCAGCGCGGCGCGGCGATGCGCCAGCCAACTCCAAGCAGTCATCGCGATCGCTGCCGCATGGGTTCTGCAAACCAATTTGCGGGTTGGTGGGTCGGATGATTGCGCGAGCGGTGGAGTGGACAGTTCATTGCGAACAGAAACTACTCGCACAACGTAGGTTGCTCTACATCGATAACACAACTAATCTTGCTAGAAACACTGTTTGAGGTCCATGCCAGTTGCCTTTTCTTTGCGTGGATGGTGGCCTGTTTTGAAGGCTGTGGTCACCGTCCTGGCGCCGCGCATATTCAGCCAACAAACTTCCAGCGGTTGGTTTCCAAAGTGTTGCTCCTGCGTTGGCTTCGCATACCTTCTGATCTGTTGCGACCGTTCCACGGATGGATGGCGGTTCGTTGCAACTGTTGGTTTCGCATTCGTGCCGCGCACAGTCGTCTTAAATGTTCCCGCTTGTGACACGGATGAAGGGCGATTGGGTTTCTAAGTGGTACTATCTCTGCAGGGCCGCTCACATGTGGCCGAACAGTTCCAAACCGTTTCACGAGTGCAGGGCGTACCTTCTCTGACATGTGCGGAACTTTGAATTTGTGTATCGAACTAGCTGTTCACTCTCTAGAATAGGGGCTCACGCTACTTATTTCAATGAGCTGCTTCATCACATCATCCTCCGTGGCATTTTCCCAAACTCGGAGAATGGAATGGGCACCCTTACTCAACGGGGCTCTCGCCTGCGTGGCACGCCCAGGGACGCTCGTCTTTCCAGGCGGGTTTTCCCGTAGCGGAGCGGAGTGGTTGCGCAGACTCCTGAGGAAGGGATTTTGGGACGGGCGCGAGCGTCGCAGCATCGCCTGCGCATCCAGAGCTTCTTATTGTCCTCCTTGCCCTCCCCCTTCTTCTGTGGCGGCTCAAGCTTGTCTTTTTGGTTGTGCCGCTGGAGTGCAGGCCGCCCCTTCGGCGCGCCCGAGCGCTCAGGCCAGACGCGGGCCGCCCCCGTCCAGGCGAGATATGGCGCCGCGGGGCGCCGCGGAGGAGGAGACGGGCACCGTGAGCCGCCCGGAGGACCCCGCGGACTACGTGGAGTGGGCCCTGGAGGAGGTGGGAGGCGACGGCCTTTTCCAGCTCAAGTACCTGTTCCTGATGGGCCTCCCGTGGGTCTACTGGGGGATGCAGACGTACGCG